AAAAAATTAAATAAAATCTCTTTAAAAATAAAATAAAAGCAGGGACTCAAACAGATATTTATATACCCATGTTCACAACCACATTATTCACAATAGTCAAAAGGTGGAAGCAACCCCAGTGTTCATCAATGGGTAAATGGATAAATACTATGTGGTATAGCCACACAATGGGATATTATTCAGCAATAAAAAGAAATTTAGGGGGTGCCTGGCTGGCTCAGTCAATAGAGCGTGCAACTCTTGATCTCAGGTCATGGGTTTGAGCCCCACATTGGATGGGTAGAGAGTACTTTAAAAAAAAAAATTTTTTTTTAAAAAGAAAACATGATAAATGAAAGAAGCCGCACATAAAAAAAATCATGTATTGTATGGTTCCTATGGTCATTAAGATGAAATGTCTGGAACAGGCAAATCCGTACAGAGACTAGTGGTTGCCAGGGGCTAGGAGGAGTTGGGGGAAATGGGTACATGACTGCTAAAGACGGGGTTTCTTTTTGGAGTGAGGACAATGTTCTGGAATGAGACAGTGGTGACGGTTGCACAACTCCCTGAATATATGACAAACCACCGACTGCACACTTTATCAGGGTATATGCTCAATAAAGCTGTAGTTGGTTTTGTGCCATCAGGAGAAAAGGGCCTGGAACTCAAGGGTAGGACAGACACTTGGAGTTCTTAACCTGGGGGTTGGAGAACGTAAGGCACAAGGAAGTCCCCTGGCAAGTGGTGTAGGTGTGCATGTGCATTTCTCTGGGCTGCACCGTGCCCCACCCGGGTCCCTTACTCTCATGAGGTGCAGAGGCCACAGGCAGGTACAGACCGGACTGGGAGAAGCACCATTTAGGCTAGGGGAGTACCAGTGTTTAGGGGAGTACGGGAGCCAGGCAACGGGTCTGACTGGTCTTTTGGGACAAAAGCTTCTTTCTGCTCTGAGAAGAGGACCGGACTGGGCCAGGAAATGCTCACCCCGCTGTGCCTGGGACTCCAGCCCCCAGAAACGGGGTCATCTGGGACCACTAATGGTTTTTTCCCTGCTTTCCAGCTCCTTTTTATTCAATCTTCTTTTGTCTCCCCTTAATTTTATTTTATTTACTTATTTATTTGGGGGGGGGGCAGAGGGAGAGAGAGAATCTTAAGCAGGCTCCACACCCAGCACACAAGCCCCACACTGGGGCTCGATCTCACCACCCTGAGATCAGGACCTGAGCCAGAATGGAGTCAGTGGCTTAAGGGACTGAGCCACCCAGGAGCCCCTCCCCTTCATTTTAAAGGGTCATTCCTCTTTTAAAAGCGCACCCAGGCTCTGATTCTGCCCAAACTTCGGCAGGAGCTTTAAAAGGGAGCGGTGTCCCCAGAGAGGGCAGCTGGCATGCGGGCCCCTCCTCCTGGGGACCTATCTCCCCAGGGCTTGGGGCTCTCTCTCAAGGAAAGCCTGGCTCTGAACTTTCCTGCCCAGGTTCATCTCAAGCCCTCTTCCACCATGGAGCCTCCCTGAAGGCAGTCCCAGCCCCTACTGTGGCAGCCTCCCCTCACTCACTGCCAGGGGGAGCCAGAAGGGTCACCTCAGTGTCGCCCCTCGACCCGGCTCATTTCAAGCCTGTAGGCAGCGCAGGTCGCCCTCCGCTTTCCACACACCCCCATGAGGTCGGCCTTAAATGAAATACTACCTCAATCCCTCTGTGAGGAAGTCAAGAGCCAAGAGCTTTGGAATCGCTGGACATTTGGTGGAATAATTCCAAGAAAGGAAGGCGTGAGGGTGGGATCCCACGGCGTCACCAACCAACCAGTGCAGCGCGGCCTTCCGCCTGCAGCCCCGGTGCCCACCACTGGGATTCCAAGGGACTGCCTTTCGGTCCCAGCGCGAGTTATTACCGAGCCCGATTCCACGAGCGGGCAATGACAATGGCCAGGCAAGGTTTCCAGACAGCGGGAACAAGACGAGCGGCACAGCCCGGGGGCGGACGGCGAGAATGGAAGAAAGGCGAGGGGCAGCGAGCGGGAAAAGCGCAGGGCCGCGCGCGCCCCGGCAGACGGAGCCTCAGAGAGGAGCTGAGTGGCGCGGCCAGGGCAGAGCAAGATTCCCCGTCGTGCCCCCTCCCGCTCACAGTGGCCAGAACCAGGCTCACAGCACCAAAGCTGGGCTCCCGCGGCCTCCCCAACACCCCCGAGACGCTGATTCCTCCCCCCACCCCACCCCCCCACACACACCGCGCCCCCGCGGGTGCTTACAGGAGTTCCCCCTATTCTTCTAAGGAGACCCCACTGCCCCCAGCCAACACTGCACGGACCAGCGCCTGCTCCCCAGTCCTGACCCATAAACCCGGAGATGAAGTGCATACCTGTCTGCGCCGGGTCTGCCCCTGGGTCCCGACTCCCTCCGACCTTGAACTCCCTCCCCTTAGCCCCGGGCGCGTCTCAGGCCACACCATGCGGGACATTTCCCTAGACACACCTCTCTGAGCGCACACAGAAAGTACACACACGCGGGGCCCGAGGAGCCTCCGCGCACACACAGACGGGGCACAAGCACGCACTCACGAAGTCACGCCACGCACAAGCAAGGAAGCCCGGCTCCGGGCCACCGGGCTGGGCTTGGGTTCCGAGCGCGCGGCCGGGCGTATCCCCGCCTGCCCCGCCGAACACCGCCCGGTCCACGCCCCCCGCGGCTCTGGACCCGAGGCCCCGCAGGGCAGGGAGCGAGCCGGGCACCGCTGCTTGCAGACAGCCCTCCCCTCGCTGAGCCCGCGGTACCCCAGCCTGGGAGCCCACCATTTGGGCAGGGCCGGAGCGGGGAATGGGTGCCGGGACAAGCACCCCAGCCCCAGACCGCCCGCGCGCTCCTGCGCCCCTGGCCCTCCGGGCCCTGGATTTGGCCGCCCCCAGCGCCGCGGGTGCCCAACTCCCTCCCCCGCCCTGGGTCCAGCGGGGCGAGCGTGTGCAGGGAACGGAGCCCGTTGCTATGCAACCTCCATCCCGCGCGGGCGCCGGCAACACCGCGCCTCCGGGCTCCCGGGCTCCCGGGCCCGGGGTGCAAGCGCGCCGGACCGGGCCGAGCCCAACTTCTGGACCCAGGCCGATCTGGACCCAGGGTTCACGTCCCCATCTACTCCGGGCGCCCAAGGCATGCGCCCTACACCCCATCCCCACGCAGCTCCCCCCATCTGTGACTGGTTCCCACGGAGCGCCAACACCCAGCAGCCCCAGAAATTGAGGGCAGGAATGGCTCCCTACCTCTTCCTCTTCGAGCCCTTCAGCCCTGCCAGGTTTGCGACCAGCTTCTTCCCCAGGTGGCGCCCACGCCCCCCGCCCCAGCGGCCCCTACCTGAAGCATCACTTTGTACTGCTCCTCCGGTTTCTGAACCACACACATATTACATCCCATGGTGCTGGCCAGCGAGGGGAGGAGGGCGGGAACGGGAAAACGCCTTTCACTGGCCGGAGTGCGGGACCTCGGGTCCCGGGCCGGGGCCGGGGGCCATACCCTAGTGCAGGGGGCGGGCCGCTTAGCGGGGGAGGGGAGGACGCCCCCGGGGGAGGGGCAGCTCCACGCCCCTCGGGTTAACTCCGCTGGCTGAGGCCAGGCGCGGGCATGCTCCCTCGCACCCGGCCAGGAAAAAAAGGGCAGCGGGGGATGGGCGGGCGCGCCGGGCGTTGCTGGGCGACGGCCCCCCAGGAGGCGCGGGGG